GCACACCAAACAAGTCAGTCCAAGACTAATGACGTGGCAATCAGCTGTTAAAATATTCGTTGCTGGTATTAGTGGAGAGAACTGGTGTGCCTGCGCGTAAGGGAAACGAAGGCAACACGATTATAGTAATCAGTCATTAGTGAACATTGTAGTTTGTTATTAATAACTAGAGGCTCAGTGCGGGGAGGGTATGTCTCTCAGCCCAGCCTGCACCCTCTCCAATCTGGGACCCCTCGAGGGATGTCCAACTGCCCATTTAGGGATGTCCGACTGCCCGGTGTGGGATCGGGCCTAAATGGGCAGTCAGACATCCCTCTCACAATCCGGGACTGCTGGCTCCCAACTGGTCGCCTGCCTGCTTGCCTGATTGCCGCTAACCGTTTCTGCCTGCCTGCCTGATCACCCCTAACCACTCCCCTGCCAGCCTGATTAACACCTAACTGCTCTCCTGCCGGCCCGATTGCCCCCAACTGCCCTCCCCTGCTGGCCTGGTCCCCCCCAACTGCCCTCTCCTGCCGGCCATCTTGTGGTGGCCATCTTTGACCACATGGGGGCGGCCATCTTGTGTGTTGGAGCGACTGTCAATTTGCATATTACTCTTTTATTAGATAGGATTATGTATAACAGGATATTGTAAAAATTAAGTTATGAAATTTTTATTAAAACATTTCTTAGATACCGTTATATTGGCTGGGCTGCAAAAATATTTGTTGTGGGCCACATGCAGCCTGCGGGCCGCGAGTTTGACATGCTTGCCCTACAAGATCTAGCCCCACTGGCTGCATATTTGATCTCCTCTCCTGCTTCTAGCTTCTTCAGCAAAAATTACAAAGAAACAAAGAATTGCAGGGAGAACTATAAGTTTGAAGAAACATAAGAGACCTATAAACCATATTTAATCCATGAATTCTGGTTGGATTCTGCATTGAATAAGACAACTATAAAAAATTATGAGGCAATTGGAGTCACTTGAACATGGAGTGAATATTTGTATTAAGAATTATTTTTAATTTTTCAGGTGCAATATGGTATTGTGATTATGGTTTTTAAAAAGCGTCTTTATCTTTTAGAGACACATACTAAAATCCAAGTAAAATAATATGATATCAAAATAATCTAGCCCTAATCGGTTTGGCTCAGTGGATAGAGCATCGGACTGTGAATTGAAGGGTCCCAGGTTTGATTCTGGTCAAGGGCATGTACCTTGGTTACGGGCACATCCCCAGTAGGAGGTGTGCAGGAGGCAGCTGATCGATGTTTCTCTCTCATCAATGTTTCTAGCTCTCCATCCCTCTCCTTTCCTCTCTATAAAAAAATCAATAAAATATATTTAAAAAAATAATCTAATGTCTGGGGGAGAAGTGTGAAGGTATAAATAAAACAAGATCAGCCATGAGGAGATAATTATTGAGGATGGATGATGAGAACATGGGCGTTTATTATGTAATTCTCTCTACTTTCCTGAGGGTCCTTGACTTTTCTGCCCAGTTGCCATTTCTATTATTTATCTTCAAACCCAGAGCACTATCGTTTTTTTCTTTATTTATCCTAAAGTTGTATAAAACCCTTTTGATTGGGATTACTGCAAATTTCCACTTGACCACTTCAGTGTTTTATTAAATTATTTTCACTTTCTCCATTGTGATTCTTCAAAATGTCCCCACAAGCTCAGGCCCTCAGATCTTAATTCAACAGAAGATGTGTTCTACTTTATTTTTGAAGGCTTAGGTCATTCAGCATGAAACCTCTTTCTTCTTCTTTGCCTTCTAAAAATCTCCCTTTTACCATACTCTCCTGAAATTCACCATGTCTAATTCTTGGATAAGTTTTACTTTGGATTTTTTAAAATTTAATTGATCTCCGACTATATGTATTACTTGTCCATTTCAAACATAATTCAGATAGGATAAAATCCAAAATTCAAGGACAAAAAAATATATATCATTAAAAATTATTTTTAAATACTTACATATGCAAACATATATCAAAGATCATAAAACCTTATGTTTTAAAATATTTTTTTTATCGATTTCAGAGAGAGGAAGGGAGAAGGAAAGAGAGATAGAAGAGTCAATGATGAGAGAGAATCATTGATTGGCTGCCTCCTGCATGCCCCCTACTGGGGATTGAGACTGCAACCCAGGCATGTGCCCTGAATCGGAATTGAACCATGATCTCTTGATTCATGGATTGACGCTCAACCACTCAGCCACACCTGATGTTTTTATATCAGACTTGAGGATAGTCACAGGAGTTTCCTGAAAGAAGAAAACTTGTGAGTAACTGCATCTGGGAAAACTCACTAAGAGAGCAAAATTAGATTACACACTGAGGAAGAATCTTTAAATTTAAGCTTTATTGTTAAATTCTTTCCATGTTAATTTAATTTTTGATTTAGCAATCCTGTGCCGAAGTTGGTATTTTTGAGTTGGTATTTTAAGGTTTCTGCACGCATCTAAGACAACAGTCCTTTTTCTACAGAAAAGAGAGGAAAGTAAGGCAGTAGCTTGTCTTGTGTTCATCTTTGTATCACCAACACCCAGAACATAATAGATGATCCCAAAGTACTAGCTGAATTGATATATGTCTAAACCTAATATTTGCCACCTTCTTCCTTTACTCATTTAACAAATATTTATCGACAGCCTATCAAGTGCTAATGAAAGATCTTATCATCTGACCACCCAGGGAAAATGCTGAAGCCAGAGGAAAATGCACAGTTAAAGGTCCCATGGTGTGCAGACACTTGGTGTGCTGAGAACTAGAAAAAAGCAAGCTTAGCTAGAACATAGTGACAGAGGGAGAGAGAAGTAGGAGCGGGGCTCAGATATGCAGCCAGGGGCTAGATCGTTGAGGCCTTTATAGATTATTGTAAGGACTTTGTATTTTATGTATAATGGAAAGCCATTAGGAAAGCAGAATATTATGATCTGATTTTTTTTTTAACCTCATTCTCATTCTCACTAATGTGTAGGCAATAGATTGTAGTGGGACAAACGTGGAAACAGGCAAAGTTCTTGCTGCCTCTAGAACTTAGGCATGGCCTTTGATCTTGTGTCCTTCTGTTCTGACTTTAATAACACTATTTCAGTTAATATTAAATATTCAGAATATTCTAGAAGAGACAATTATAGAATCGAATATTTAATAAATATGCAAGTAAACCACAAAAGAAATATATTTTGACAGCACTTTAGATTTGTAATTATATATCAGTGAACAATAAACATATGATAAAATAATAATCAGAGAATTGCAAATATATATTTTTTATTTTATATACATATTTTTTATTATTGATTTTTTTACAGAGAGAAAGGGACAGGGATAGAGAGTTAGAAACATCGATGAGAGAGAAACATTGATCAATCGATCAGCTGCCTCCTGCACACTCCCTACTGGGTATGTGCCCGCAACCAAGGTACATGCCCTTGACCGGAATCGAACCTGGGACCCTTGAGTCCACAGGCCGATGCTCTATCTACTGAGCCAAACCGGTTAGGGCGAACTGCAAATATTTTGCAAGAGTTTTTTTTGTTGTTGTTGTTTAGAAAACCAATCATTGACAAAGGTTTAAATGAAATGATAATGCCTATGGTTTATGAAGGTATAAAAAAAAGATACACACAAGTATAATGAAATTCCATGCCATGATTAAAAAGAAAGAAGCAGATTCATATATAATGACATGGAGTTATGCCCACAACCTTTTAAATATATTTTTATTTATTTCAGAGAGGAAGAGAGAGGGAGAGAGAGATAGAAACATCAATGATAAAAGAGAATCATTGATTGGCTGCCTCCTGCACGCCCCCACTGAGGATTGAGCCTACAACCCGGGTATGTGCTCTGACCAGGAATCCAACCTGTGACCTCCTGGGTCATAGGTTGATGCTCAACCACTGAGCCATGCCAGCCAGGCCACAATCTATTTTTGAACTGAAAAAAAGCATTGCCAGAATATGATCTTATGTTTGTAAAAATACTAATGGATAAGCATGTATTTGGATTTGCATAGACAATGGCACTTCTCAATGAGGCCTACCCTGGACTCCCTCTTTAAAATTGCACCCCACTCAGTTTGTATTCCTAACCTGCCCTTTTGTACTTGCCCTGTATTACTTTTTTTTTTCCATAACACTTAGCACTATCTAACATACCACATAATTTAAATATGTATTATTTGTTCCCTTTCTCTCTTTAGAATGCAAAATCCATGAGAATAAGGATATTACTCTATTTTGTTCATGGATTGTCTAAGAGTCTGGGTAGGGCATTGCCTGGCACACAGTAGGTACTCAATAAATATTTGTTAAATAAGGAATGAACAGAAAGATTCCAGAGAAGTAAGATTAAGGGGAGGAGAGGTTTTTACTTTATGCTTTATAACTTTTTGTTGCTAGAATTTTTTTATGGTAATGTTTTATCTTCATTATTTAAAATTATATATTACAGAATTATAAATTCTGTCTTTAATACTATGGACAGTCCCAAATATAATTCTGAAGAGTTTCTTTGGCCCATTGAGTTATTAGAATCCTACTTTTCACGTGGTAGGAAGATGACAGATGTGTTCAATAGGAGTCACAGCTGTCATTAAGAACCCTGCCTGTGCTCTAGCTGATTCCGCTAAGTGGATAGAGTGTCGGCCCATGGTCGCAGGTTCCATTCGATCATATCAATGCTTTAGACTCTTATGCTTTTGCATCGGAAAAAAAAAAAAGAACCCTGCCTGAGCTCTAGCTGATTCGGCTAAGTGTATAGAGTGTCAGCCCATGGTCACAGGTTCCATTCGATCATATCAATGCTTTTCTTTTTGTCTCTCCCCGTCCTTTCCACTCTCTCTAAAAATCAATGGAAAAATACCCTCAGGTGAGAATTAAAAAAACAAACAAACAAACAAACAAACAAAAAAAATCCTGACTGAGGCCAAACACAGCTAATTATGGAAGTGTAGAACCCATGTTTTAGTTGTGTGAACAAAAATTAATAAAATTCCAAATGTCTTTATCCTATATAAACGTCCATGGATTTACAATCTTCTTGACCATTAGTTCCTTGAGTGCAAGGGTTGAATCTTACTTTAGAGTCCTTTAGGCATAGCTCCAATATCATCCCTTCCATGAAAATTTCCTGCGTAGCTTTTAAGTAATCATTCGTTTTTTACACGTGTGCACTGAACAGAAAGCACAAACTTTCCAAAATAATCCAGATTTCAAATTCTTGGACCATTTTTCCTCTCATGAAAATTTCAAGATGTCCTAGCAAATCCTGAATTCAGTATTCAAGCTACTATCTCCTGAATATCTTTGTACCTCCAAGAAGGAGCATAGCATACTTCAAAAATTTTAAAAACAGGGAACAGCATGGCATCTTGGAAATAGTGTAAGTATTACTTTGAAGTAAGATATCTGGAATCCTAAACTTTGTATTTTACTAACAGCACCACCTTGAGTAACCTCTCTATTTTCTATATAAAACTAAGGATTATAAAACCTACTCTGAAGCAAAGTGAGAACTAAATGAAATTATGTATCTAACCCATGTATGTGTCTAGCACATAGAAGATGCTTAATCAGTGGCATCTTTGACTATTTATGAAGAAACAGTAATGGAAGTGGAGCAGTTTATTCCTATATGACTCAGTTCTTATTTCTAAAAGTTAAAAGTTATTTAACTTTTCCCATCTGTGCATTTTTTTTCTTGCAGACAGGAACATAAGCTGTTTAAGAAAGCTGACATTAAAAATATTGCTTATTGTGCCTAGAACAGTGATGGGCATAATAAGTGATTAGCAACTGAACAAAGCCAGACAAGATGTGTAGCCTCTGAGTTTGGGCATCAAGAACGAATAGTGAATCATTAATATTTATAATGTCTGTGGAACATCAACAGGTGTACTATTTATTTATTTTTAAATATATTTTTATTCATTTCAGAGAAGAAGGAAGAGGGAGAGAAAGATAGAAACATCAATGATGAGAATCACTGATCGGCTGCCTCCTGCATGACCCCTACTGGGCCTTGAGTCCACAACGCAGGCAATTGCCCTTGACCGGAATCAAACCCGAGACCCTCAGTCTGCAGACTGACACTCTCTATCCACTGAGCCAAACCGGTGAGGGCCTGTTTATTAACTAGAGTTATTAAAAACGTATTTATTGAGTGCCCAATATGTGCCAAGCTCTGTTCTAGGCACAAGAGAGGAGTGCAAGTTAAAAAGAAGAAACATTTCAAATACTGGTTAGCACAGAATAATTGTATACATTTTTTTTCTCATCCACTTGCTGCAGTTCTGACATGTTTTGTATGAAGACCAATTTACTTGACATCGTATATGCTTGGCATTGAAAACAGGATAAGAATCCTATTTTCAAAAGGAGCCTAGTTAACTGTTAGACTCTCTGCCAAAGCAGCTTCCCCTCCCTTCCTTTAGCCTCCCCAAGAGACAATTGGTTACATTCTAAGCAGATGCTTGCTCGGAGAGTGGGCAGCAAGCCGTGGGCAGCCTGCTCACTTAATGTTAAGCAAGGTCTTTGTGTGTTTTATTATATTAATTAGTGCACTGGCACGGTCAAATGGAATTTTTAAACCAACAGGGAGTTTGCTGATCTCTTAATTTTCAGTTTGTGATGGCCCTTTTGTTTTTGTTTTTGTTTAATTCTTCCACTCATTAAACCCTTCAATCTAGCCTGAGTGTAACTCCTGTAACACTAGAGCCTTGGGGAATGATGTATAAAGACGCTGGAGGCTGTGGTGAGGAGGGCAAAGGGCACGTGTGGTACTGGGTTTTGAGTGGGCAGCGACCCTTATATTATGCTCATCAGCATTTAACCCGAGAAGCGAGCTCTGAGAGAGAGGATGCCGTGTTGTATGTGCATTTTAGTGTGTGCAGGAAAATTCTTCAACTTTTCATTCAAGTTTAGATTACGCAAATAAAAACCAACTGGTTTAGACATTCTGGGCCAGTGAAGAGAAGACTGGAGGAAATGTGTCAGAAAGGGATGTATTTGTGGATTTGTGTAATTGAATGTTGAGGGAGATTTCCCTGTTGCCCTTGAATTAATTACGTGTCTTCTCCCCACTGTTTGAAGGCAAAGATGCTCCCTATGTTATCTCATCTAATTCTCACCATGCCCATTGTGGTTAATACAAGTCAGTCCAGTCCAGTTTAATGCTTCATTCTGAAATTCGATGTAAATCTTTTTCTATCTCCAGTACAGGTTTGACCCAGGGCTTTGAGGGGGAAACCACATAGTCAGCCCTCACACCCTTCTGTCCAGCACTTATAAAATGGAGGAAATTGTTACTACTTAAAATATATTTTGTTGAATACTTTTTAAAAATTTTAGTGGGGCCTTGGTGGGGGTGGGGAAAAAAGGCAAAGGACTTTGGGCTGAGGAAAATTTGAGAATTAAGGAGTGAATTACTGAATAGGTGCCTTATGGTTAATTTGGCAGAATAATAAAACATCTCATTTTATAACTGGTTTCTTTTATATTTTCTTAAGTATCTATATATATATAAGGCTAAGTGACTGACCGTATGTCCATATGACCATGTGACTGTCTGACTGGCTAGTACATATGATGCAGACTGGCAATTTAAAAATAAATATTGACTCGCACATGCATGATACATATAAAGCTCTTGCTGATGCCTATCTTACACGCGTGTTTCCATCTGTTATTGTCGATCATGAATTTGGTGAATTTTGGATATACTCGATGGAGATTTTCACACATATTTGAGTGATGATTCCATCGATTCAGTGGATGATGATGAAAATGAAAATTTTCCCATTGAATTTCTTAATAGTATT